AACTCTGCTATTTCCTCTATTTTTAAGTGTGGAAACGCACTAACCTTAAATGAAGCTGTTCAATTTGCGATAAAAGCAGAAAATTTACAAATTCTCTGAATGTATTCAAAATATTCAATAATTTTTGAACAAATTTAGAGATTGTGTAATATATTATGTAATAAAGTGGTTCATGTCGCTATGCAATGTTTCAAAAATAAAAATCATTCTATTTTAATCATAATAAACAAATTTTTCATTAATATAGTTCTAACTCTAATAAATTAATTTGCAACTATTTCAAAAACATATGGGGCACACCATTGATCAATGTAGAAAGATACAATATAAAATGCAAGAATTTTAACAAAAACTTTAATCGTAACCCTAATACTAATTCTAGCTATGTAAATCGTAGCTCAAATAATAACTCTAATTTTGTAAGCCATAACCCTATTCCTAATTCTAGTTCTAACTCTGGGCCTGTGCACATGACACGTGATAACGACGACGCTGTCAATAATTCCAACTCTTTAAACTTAAAAGGATTTCGGATACGTTTCTGCCGAAGTCGTACTATAGTCACAACACGAAAACAATTAATAATACTATATCGTCTAAATGTTACAAAAATCCTTAAGCTAAATTTAATTCTAATTCTAATTCATCTTGGTAACTCTCAAGCAGGCAACCGAGTCGTTCTAGCTCATTAACACCTCAGCTACCCATAAAGGAACAGAGTAATACAAAATCGATTGCATCTTAAGCTCTTAATAGGGAACTGAGTCATTCTAAATAATATATTACACCTCAGCAACCCAAACAGGTGAAGCTAAGTCTTGCTAGTATTCATGCATCTCAGTTGACCAAAAAGGTACAAATAAGGCCTACTAAATTGTTTACCATATCTACATCTCAGCAACCCAGAGGAGTGAAGCTGAGTCTCGCTAGTTCTCATGCATCTCAGTTGATCAAAAAGTTACAACCGAGTCCTACTAAATCGTTTACTACATATACATCTTAGCAGCCCAAAGAGGTCAAGCCGAGTATTAATGACTCTTTTTCTAATTCAATTGCTATTTTTGAAACGACCATAAATATATGCAACATTTCGTTACCATTTACGAATCTATTTACAAAATATTCTGCCGAGTGTCTCAAACAAATCCGTCTAAATTCTAATGCCGATGCGTTCCGTTATGTAATGTTATAGATATTAATACGTTAAACAATTCTAGTTATGAAAAACATTTTAAAGACCAATTTACTGATAAAACTTCTATTTCAAATACATTAATCTTAGTATATACTCAATAGTTACATTAATTTAAAATAAAACTACTGCTTGTCCTTCCCCTTTAGATTTCGATTCATTTATACCTCACTGTGAATAAATATTATTACACTTAGATAAACCCGAGGACTTGTTAAATTCTGATCGCGAACCTTTTACAATTCAATGCGTAAAAGATAACAACAAATCTTACTATTTTTTGTACATTAACGCTCATCATTTTGATGAAACTAAATTTAAAGATATTTACAATTTAATGTAAAACACAGAGATAAAATTTTAATCGAGAATCCTGATATTACAGATCACGCCCTATTAGACTTTTCAGATTCATTTTCTAAGTTAGCCTGTATTAAAATGTATAATATGATTGCCGAAATTTTCCGTAACACTAACATTAAAATTCATATTAACAAAAATCAGTTAATTTATCCCACTCCCATTGATATTTATAAAATTTTAAAAGAGAATCACGATTCACCTATTGCGGGTTACTCATGATCAAATCGTATGTATAAACGAATTAAAGCAGCCTATTATTGGAAGGGTATGCATTCTGATATATTAGATTATCCCTCTCTGTAAAACGCATATTCTGTAAAAATGGCATATTAAACGCCATAATAAGGGAAAGTGATAGCTATTTGTAACATATATATGATATATATCATATATATAACATATATATCTGTTATGCATAATCTGATAGCTTATTTAATTACGTTTCTATTGATATATGATTTCAATATACTTACTTAGTATATATATATATATATATATATATATATTATTTACATATATACTTAGTATACTTGTTAAATACTAAGTACTTCGGAAAGTGCTCGACAGATGTGCCATATTGGCCAAAATGACCCCGACATTCGAGTAGATAACTGAAGAAATACCAATTATGCCAAATTGATAAGCCATTGAGAATGTCCATTAAAGCTCCAATGGAGTTAACTTCTACTTCTACTAGATCGTTTGAACGATTAGCTCTTGATATCGTTGGTCCCTTACCCGATGCAGGTGCCCAAAATTTCAAATTTATCCTTGTTTTCCTAAATCAATCTTAACAGATTTGGGTACATGTTTCATGTGTTTATTTAAAGAACGGACTCAAATCTTAAAAGTCAAAGCCTTATTTACTCTAGAACGCTCACATGCTACATAAAAATATTACTTAAAATCCTTTGTAATGAAAACCGAAACGACTAGCTTTTTTATTTATTTACCGCAATATTATACCACCCCTCCTTGCACCACTAATTTCACCTCTCTTGAATTATTATATGGTTATTTAGCTAACATTCCTAATTCTCTATACGAAACAAACAATAATACCACTTATAATTAATATATTCGAGCTTTACAATATCGAATGCGTTTTAGTAGAGATAAGGCCATTTAAAAAATAATTAATAGTAAAGAAAAATCTAAACAATATTATGATGCTAGTTGTCGCGATATTTCCTATAAAATTGGTGACTAAGTGTTTACAAAACACCATCATTGGCTCCGTAAGGCTCTATCACCTATATAGAAATGTCCACATAAAATAACAAAAATACATAATAAGCATATCGTAATTTTACAAATAGGTTGTAAACATGTCAAGTATCATACAAATGAAATTAAGCCTGCTATTCAAACTGCTTAAATTTTACTTATTTTGTATATTTTTCAGAGCTTATGATATGGAAACCAAATCAACGCCGAATCGAGGAGCATACCTATATCACATAGTCCTGGAACTTATTTTGAACCTAATAGGTTCAAAATAAGTTCCAGTTCGCGTATTAATTTTTAAAACGATTATTGGAAGGTTATGATACAAATTATATAGCTTATAATATTTTTAGACCCTTATAATACCCCTCAATAATATTGAAAATGTATTATATGATACTTTAAATCTCTGTTCCAAAATAAAAACTGACGAAATTTCCCAATGTAAAGATTTTATAGAGATTTTAGTAAAATATAATAATGTCAAATTGCAATCCCTAGCACATTCAATAAATAATAATCCATCGCCAAATAAAGTTAAAAGATCTCTGAAATTTAGAGGCGAAATTCTTAATTTTTTATTTGGTACTCCAGATGCAGATTATGTGCGAAAATATGATGCAGCGATAAAATCCTGTCGTCAAAGTGAAACAGAATTATTTCATTTACTCAGAGATAATATTGACATAATTAAATCTACCATAAACAATTTCATTTCCACTGTTTAGAAATTAATACAAAATTAATTAAGATTGAATTCCCAAATAAATAAAGTGAATGAGATTCTATCACAAATTACAAAAACTGATAACTGACTTCTTCATATTTCTAAGATAAATAATTTACTAAATATAATTGAAGGCTCCTTACTTGCTATTTCTAACTTGTTAGACACGACTGTAAATAATATTCTATTTTCAAAGGTAAATGTTGTCCATTCTAGCGTGACTAACCCTTTATAATGAATTAATCAAGCATATTAATCAAATAAATAAACGTTTAGATTTTCTAGTGCAATTAAACATAAATAATATTCATATTTGATTGACGTTTCGAAACTAAGTTTATGTTATTACAACAATAAGATTGGTTTCAGTTTGCAAATTCTATTGATAAAATCTGATAAATTCACTGTTTATAAAATATACCATTACCGACTCCTCACGACGAGTCACACATACACACTTTTGCACTTATTCAACCTTCTGGTTCTTGTATTGCTTTAAGTGACGATGTAAAACATTATACTGTGTTTAATAACTTACAGTTTTATTCATAAAAATCCACTAAAATGGCGTTATAACAGTAATTAGTTAAAATGCTCAATAGTACCATTAAACCTATTATAAAATTCTCTATTCATAAACGTTCAATAAACCTGTCATAGTTAAATCATATTTATGGAATACTTTAGTTTTATTATGTTGTCCATTCTTATGAATCCATAGACAAGCCACGGTAAAAAAAAGTTTGACAGCAAATTGTGACATTTCCGTCAAAACAAGCGTGGTGTTTTCGTTAAATCGATTCAAGAAATTGATTTGCTTTATTTTATACTCAATAAAAATAATGGAAAACATTACATGTAAAAAGCGACAAAGAAGTGAAAATTGGCTGGAGGAAGATAAGGTTAGTATGTGACTAAAGTAATTTTCTCATAGGTGCTTATTGCACAAATGTTAGTTAACTGTGTTTTTATAATAGTATCCTTTTTCTTTCCATAGCTTTTGTTGATGGATTTGGTAAGGGAGCGTGTATCAGTAATTGAAAATAAAAATACTGAAACAAATACAAACTCAAAAAAGCTAGCAGCATGGGCAGATTCATTATGGAGGTACCTATTTTCAGTCTATCAATTTGTGAAGTGTTTGAAGATGAGTCTTCAACGCAATGATATTCTATATACGGTCAGTTACATTATTATGCAACAGAAGCATGTCACTTCGTCTATTGCTGATCTAATGCATATAAGCTTATAAAGTCATAACAGTGGGCAGTCCACATAGTTCATAGAACATAGGATTGGACGGGTTGATCTACTATGAGAAAGCGCAAAAAAGTCCTCAGGATCGCTTGCATTGTGATTGGCCCATTTTGAATATTAAAATGTCAAATATTTGTATAAATTGTGATTATACTTTTTTTCAGTTTCAACAGTATGTGTAAGGGTGGCACTCGCACCCTTCCCCAAATAAAATCCCAATGGAGTATCATTAAAATGACAAAGAACAAAATTAAGTTTGCCGAGCGAAAGAATCTTCGCCACACAGGTGGTGGTACACATCCAACTACGAACCCTGAAAATGCAGATGACATTTCTTCATGGCTCCCTAACGAATTGGTCATTGACACCATTGAATTTAATTCTGATGAAATAAATCAGGTATTACATAATATGTCAAGATTCTAAGTTAAAGGTCGCAAGTTTTATCTCTACCCAGTACGAACTTTAATGTTGCATAATAAATATATTTGTTCCTTTTCTACCAAAATAAAATACCTACTAAAGTTTACTTAATGATATAGTTATATCAAAAAAAACCACGCTTAAGTACATTATTAATTTAATTATTTATTGCATTGTTTGTAGATTGGGGAGCCATCGCAAAATGAAATCGAAGTGGATAGGATAAATAAACTTGTCAATGTTGAAAACAAGTCTTCAGATATTGTGAGCATCCGTAAAGCATTGAAATAGCTAGCAATTTTCATATTTTTTATACCTATTTTATTTTTATATTTTACTGTTGTAGGACACAAAGAGTACAGTAAAGGATGTCACAGTAGAAATACTTGAGGAGATCCAAACTACACGAGAGGTAAATATATGAAATGTCATAAACCAAGTACTTACTAAACATGTGCCAAAGTGGGAATCGAACCCATAACTTGATTTGTAATCCTGGATTGTGAAGTTTAGGGATAAAAATAATAGTTGAATAAAAAATGGTCCATTTAAACTTAAATTTTATTTGATGAAACATTTTATGTCAAATTATATTTAAGATTAAGTTATTGAAAACATGTTTTTTTTAACGGCTTCCTTTGCTGCAGGTTGTATCTATTGGTTTAGCACCAAAACCTCTCTATACACCATCTAAAAAACCTGAAAGAAAGAATAAAACTGAGAAAGAGGTAAATATAATGACCTCTACTCTAATAGGGATTATGTTAATTTATGAAATTGTTGCTTTGATTTTTTTAAATACCCAACATAACTATTTGTATTTCAGACCTCAGATCATGCAGAAAGTATATCCAATACTGAAATCGAGTGCAGGAAAGAGGTCCATCAAGCCCAAATGGCAAATGAAGAAAGGAAAGCCCGAAACTTGGACCTCGATGAGACATTAATTAAATTAAAAATTGAATATTATAAAAAAACTTCTAGTTCTTGAAAATAAATAATTTAAAATTAAAATGTGGAGCTTACTTACTCATACCCTTAATTAGCTAAAATGCCTATCGATAAATGCTCGTAAAAGAGCATTATTGGAGTCTCTTCCTCGGGTTTCACCAATTTGAGGTAGAAGTTCAGCATCTACAGTTGTATTGAGTTGATCATCATGATCTGAAAATTATATTATTATTATTATGTAAAGAAATATTATATTCATGAATGACTAAAATTATTTATGTCCAAATTACCTGGCGCCGAATCCTGTTGTCCTATTGCAATATTGTGCAACACAGCAAGAGCCACAATTGTAGGTTTCACATTTTTCACGTGTACTGTGATGCCATACAACAGACTTTGAAACCGCTGCTTCCACACTCCAAAGCAACGTTCAATACAGTTTCGAGTGGCAATTTGTACTGGATTATATTTTTCTTCACGCTCATTTTGTGGTCTTAGTATAGGTGGGAATAGATATGGCTCTAATCGGTAGCCCGAATCTCCTAAGAGTCTCCCTCTAAACTCTCTTCTTTCAAAGCGCTCTTAAGAGTGGATTCGTTAAAGATACGGGAATCATGGGTACTGCCTCGCCATCTGGCAACGATATCTCTGATATACAGCTTAGCATCGCAAACCACCTGCATTAAAATTAAAAAAATATATGTGAGCACAGTTATGTATGTAGGTAAAATAAATACATATATACATTTATATATACACATATATATTGTATATAAGTAATATACCACCTGGCAAAGAACTGCATTGTATTATTATATGAACTTACTTGTACATTCAATGAGTAAAATCCTTTTCAGTTTATTTAATACTGAGCTGCATCACCACCAGATTTCTTTATTTTTATGTGAGTACAATCAATGCAACCCAACATAGAAGGGAAATTTCTTATCTCTAAGAATTCCCTTATAACCCTTTGCTCTTCTGCCAGAGACTGTGGTATTTATATGTACGTCTCAGAGTGACGAGCAATAGTGCAAGCTACTTTGGCACAAATGCGACTCACAGTTGGTTGTGTCAACCCATGAAGGTCTCCCTCATCATCTTGAACCTAAAACGGATAGGTACAAAAACGTTTACACACACATATATGGTATTATTACTTGTATACTACGAGTTGAGACTTACTTCACGACTTCCCCTACATCTAATGGCAGTTAACACCTGCAATTCTGGTGATGTACCACAACCCCTTGGGTCCAGTTGTAAATCCTGCCTGACAAGATCAATTATAAAAGATGCCGTATGTTTATTGAAGCGGTATCGCTTTTTGAACTCTACATCGGGCGGAGAAAACGGATCATATCTCTTCCGGTAAACCTTACGACGTCCCATGCGGAGCATTTCCTAGTTGCTGCATAGCTTTAAAGCTTGCAGAGCTTGCATATCGACACTTTTTAGCAATCAAAATCCATAAAAAACAATTTCACCAACAATAACTTAAACGACTTAAACAAACAGCTGTTCGTTGCTCGCACGCAAAGCGGCCATATTTTTATTTATTACAGGTTTATAGTAGGGTGAACCCTTTTATAACTTATGAAGCCGTTATAGAACACTTATAATGCGTTCTAGAGTTATTAAACGTTTATGAATAATGTTTTACGGGTACCTCCTTATAACAAGCTAATAAACTTATTTTAACTTTTTTATGAATAAGACTATTAGATGATTGTAAATTTATTAATATTAACTATTCTATTTGTGAACTGTTTACTATAACGTCTAGTATAAAATAAATAATCCTAATTGTGAATCGAAATCATTAACACAAGTAACACTCCTTACCTTCTGAGTGTAATGCCAAGTTATTATTTGATCAAATCAATATTTGGCATAAATTAAAAAATAATAGATGGATTTGTGTACAATCCAATGTAAATAAATTAACTATCAAATGTGATGATGATATTATTGATCATTCTATTATTGGTACAAGTATTGTCAAATTAACCGAAGATTGTGTCGGTTATTCCAAAACTATTCAATTATTGCCAACAAGTACTTATCAATTGTCAATTGAATCAACTATAGATATAAGCTTTAATATAACAAAAGATGATTGTTGCAAAAAGGTACATTTAAAGCTAATCTCTTTAAGCAAAGTTAGCTCGCATTCTTTAAAATATGCAAATCATCAGCTGGATTGCTTAGAATTTGAATTAAATAACCTTCAAAAGGAATCATGATATTTTATTAAACATGGCTCATACTAACCCACATTTACTTATATTTTAATTATATTACTGTTTTTATATTTTGCCTTTAAATAATTTAAATGCCTCAGAAATCGTCACGACAATACTGGATATTGTATACAAATATTTAATCAATGTTATAATAAAAAATCATCGAAAAATAAATTTAATAAAATCTTTACCAAATTGTATTAATTAAACCATATAGTTATACACAAAGTTCACTCTTCCTCCGTAACAAATCTTAATTTCTAACCCTATTCAATTTTAGTTTTCAAAATGTTTGTAAAATAATATAACACGTTACAAATAATTGATTTTGGTGTCATACAACTTTAATTTCTACTCTGTCATTTTATATTACGTAATTGCTATATTTTACTATTTTTAATTCAAGCTATGTAACTGTATAATTTTATTTCATTTTTGTTTAATTTTATAGCTAAGTTTTAAAATAATTATTTTTTAAATTTTACTCCGTCTCTTTTGCATAACTTGGTTACAAATTATGCTATTTAATTTTTATTTAAAATTAAATGATTCAAAATTTTATAAATTATTATAAAATAAATTTGTAATATTTTACTACAACTTTTGAATTTACATTTCTATATTTTGTAGTGCCTTCCAACCTTTAATCGCTTTTCTATTTTGAAACTTCGCTTTATATTAATTTGGAAAAAGCTAAGTCCAGGAGCTGTTATATCCCTTTTTACAAGGCAGTAAAATCTTAGTAAGCATTTATTTAATCACATGGTTCTTTTCATTCATATGAATTTAGTCAGTAATTGTATTGTTTTTTTCCATATTTGTTTTAATTTCATTTTAATGATCAGTTAGACTCAGAGCACCGGGTAGATCGGACATCAGAAGTTAGGGACTATATACTTTTGGTGTGTGAACTTTCCTAATAAACCCTTGTGGCTACTTAGGGTTTTTTTTTAAATGTCAAACGGGATCTGCCTCATAACAAAGCGAACACACAATTTAATTGATGGTAAGTGGCTGCTGTGACCCACAGACATCTACATCTATTTGTGATTAAGAGTGAAAGTACAGATGTGTTGTCACCACTGAGGACAAAGATAAAATGTGAATGTTTTTATGTTATGACAAATGCATTTTGCATTTTAAATGTATATATGATTACATAATTTTAGTGACAATCCGAACTTGAAAATTTATTAAATTTCAACCTAAAAGATCGCAGAAAAAGTTAGACTGTGCATAAAAGCTCATCGCTTCAGGGATGTGACGTGAGGCCACTTCGTTTTGCCGGTATACTGAGTGGTGGCATTGCAAGAGAAAACACATATTACTATTTATTTCCGGGGAAATCGTAACACTTCTGTACAGCCTCCTCTATAAATTTTCCCCTGTCACCGCTACTTAACGCATCTACATTTGTAAATGTCTACGCCGTAGCTGTGGCATAGTTTTTTCTTAATTTAATATTTATGGCCTTGGTTTCTGAATAAGGTGATCGCTACCAAGCTGTTTCTAATTTTATTTAAAAAAAGTCCCGCTGGGTTTCTTGCCGGTTCTTTTTTCCGAACCAGAGGTAAATTAAAGAAAAAAGTAACTTTTCAATAAGTATTATTTACAACCTACGTATATCGAATAAAAAAGTTTCTGTTTATGTTTCTGTTCCGGAAGTAAAGTTATTTCTAAACGTTTGAATCTTTATTCTGATAACGCACTTAACGGAACCCAATCGGATTTTGTTACATATTGTAATTTTAATTTTTTTTACTTTTTATACGACGACATTTGTCTGTATGGGCAGTGCAAGAATATCCACTAGCCTATATCACCGCTGGGTGCCGTAAGAGACGATAGAGGAAAGTTGAACGAAACCAGGAGATGTGCAGCATCATCTTTTTGATAACAGCTGAATAAAAATGAAAAACTGCGGCTGCCAACTCGTTCGCCAAGCGTTGCAACTATGGCAAATATCTCTTCTATACGTGGGACACTCAATAAGTTTTAAGATATACAAAAATTATTCTAGATACTATTAATATTTATTTTACATCTTTTTAAAAGATTCTCCATCATGCTCTGTACAAAGTTGGATTCGCTTAAACCAACTCTGAAAACACATTTGCCAGTCTTGATCTGACAGGTTGGAAATCGCTTCCGCGTAGGCAGCCACGGTTTCTTCGGCGCTTGAAAAAAACTTGCCTTTTATTTTTTCTTTGACTCTTGGGAACAAAGAGAAATAACAAAGAGCTAAGTCAGGACTGTAGGGTGGGTGACTTAGAGTTTCAACACCAGATTCCTCAATAAATGCTTTTGTTCTAAAGGAGGTATGTGAAGAGGCGTTATCGTGATGCAGCATGATTCCTCGAAGCCCGGTTTTTGGTATTCTCTCCCGCACAGCTTGAAAAGCTTTGGGTAATGCATTTGTAGTATACCATTCAGAATTGACTGACCTACAATTTTCTAGCATTGACGTCGACAAACGTCCGCTCCGCGAAAAAAAACTAGCCACCATTTTTTGCCGATGTTACGAGGTCTTTGCAGTTTTGTCGGTGACTGTCCTTCTGATAAGACCCATACCAATTGCTTTTTTTTTCTGGATCATATTGATATATCCACGTCTCATCACCAGTAACGATTTCTAAAACACGCCTAGATGCCCCGTTTTCAAAACGTAGACGCATTTCATGGCATGAATCAACACGAGACTGTTTTTCGCTTTCGGAGAGCAAACGAGGGATCCATCGACAACAAAGCTTCGTCTCCAAGATGTTGATGTAGTATGGTATTAATGCTCCCCGAA